AAATGTCGTGTGGTCTTCTTCAAGGACAGTTTATTGGATTGGTTTGAAAGAGTCTGGAACCTTCAGGTGTGACCTGGACATACCTCAAGGGCCTCTGGCTGACCTGGTAGGAAGGTAGGACAGTAAATAAGAAGCCCACAAATGGAGGCTTCCCAGCGCGAGTCTTCCAATATTCTGATCGGCGCATGTCGGCAGGACCAATGAAAGACCGATGGAAGGTCAACCTACATGGTGTTGGGGCTCCAAGTTTGACCCATCCCATATATCTAGTGTCAGATCAACCCCCCAATCGCTGCTAGGTCACAAGGTCTGGGTCAAAAAGAGCAAGAGCAAACAAGATTGACAAGATAGGACCGGCAGTGAGACAGTATGTAGGCCCCCACTTTGTAGAAGCGAGTTCCTACATTTGTCGTACTTTTTGGATCACTATTTGGTGGTCACAATTGCAAGTTTGTCAGTGAATGGCAAATACCAGCTTCAAGTGCCTGGAATGTGGGGTGCGGAACGGAAGCCTTTTGGAGAACGCGTGGTACCATGCGGTCTGCGTTTGTCAGAAATGACCCAGCCAAACAAGGTGTTCTCGGTGAGGTGCGGTGAAGGGGTCTGACGTCAAACTATCATAGGTCTGCGGTCTGCGGATGGTTTTTGCGGACTCACAACCTTCCACAAAGCTTCCATGAAGTTCGTAGGCGATCGGCGGCGCGTGCGGTCATTGTGTAGCCATCTCGGGTCGCCGGACGGAGGCGCGCGAGTCTTCTGATCATACGGCAGCAAGCCGAAACCCTTCAGGTGCCTGCGCCGAATTGGAAGCAATTCATCGAGTCGATGGAGTCCGGCTCGGGCGTTCTTGTTATCCTTGTAACTTGTAGCCGACGGTTCAACCTAGTCTCCGGTGCCCCCCCGCTTCAGCTGTTCCGCTAAACCATCTAAGACCCCTTTGGGCCAGGGGCCAACAGCAACAAAAACTCGGGTGTTGGGGCCACGGAGTGAATTTGTGGGGCGAGTGAGGTCGGTGTGCCGAGGGTTGGTGATTCACTGACTTGGACACATGAAGACACAAAGGTCCTACTGATTGCATATCTAAGCTGAATGCTTACCTGAAGCACCGTCAATTCCTGAACTTCCTTGGGACAGGCAAATACCCACCTTTTTCAGGGGCCTAAACATTGGATTGACAATACATTTGACCACAGTAGTCTTCATACAGCAAAGCAACATTTGACCGTGGTTTACAATTATTACCATTAAATCTGCTCATCCTTCAGTTGCAAAGCATCCTGGGAAAAGAAAAAGCACACACAACAGCCAATCACCCTTGCTGGGACAAACCCTACACAACAGCGCATCACCCTTTCAATGAACCGCTCAAACCGAGTCCACCACCGCTCATCCCCCACCGCTCCGTCGTACGGGACGGCAACGGCACCGCTTGCGCCGGTGCCGGTGCCTCTTCATGGTTCGTTGCATGCCGTTGCAGTAGCGGATCTGGTGAGCACGTTCACTGCTCGACCTGAATCAAGGCGTGTGGTGGTTTGGGAGGCAAAAAAGCACTTACAGCACAAAAGTGGCGTGCGATGTGTGTGTCTGGTCACACTAATAGAAGCTAAGGCAGTCTGCAACTGCAACTCACCATCGCGCGTGAGGCCGGCTCTAGCTGCCTCAACATTCTAGTCTGGCTAATAACCACTTGCTGGGTCCCGACATGCTTGCCTCACCTCAACACTCCCTTTTAGCTGACCAGTTTGGTTGAGGCTAGGGGTGTCCTAGAGCATCACAACGCAACGACGCGCATCTCAGAAACAGGACATCTCTGTTGGGAAGTTCAACGTGGACAGACTGAACAAGGGTTGCTTCAGCCAACTACGCCATCCATCGGAAACCTATCGTCATATCGTGTTCTTGTCCGAGCTGTCTCCGACGATCCGTCGACCGACCCGACGATCCGTCGACCACCGGCGGCCCAAGGGCCTGGCCTGGTTCAGGAGTCTTTTGATTAAAATTTAAAAATAAAGCATGTTTTTACATGTAAACAGCAACAATAAGCTACTAGTAAACTAGTAACAAGTGCATCGCTAGTAACAAGTAGTAACAAGTGCCTTACTAGTAGTAACAGTGCCTTACTAGTAGTAACAAGAAGCTAGTCCGTTCCCGAAACCCTCCTCGGGAGCCTTTCTTCATATGCATTGACCTATTGGTGATCCTTTTGGGCCAAATGGGGTGTTCATTGACCTATTGGTGGTTCACTTGGAGGTATCCTCAAACCAACCAATAGCAAAAAGGCCATCTATGGCGGCCCCTCGCCCATCCTCGTCCCGCATGTCTCTCTGCATTGGACCCGGCCTCTGCCACCACACCTTTGATGGGGTCCCTTTGGTCATTTCCAGGTGGATCTCCACCTCCCGCAGCGACTGCAAGCCCTTCTGCGCTTCTCAAGCACGGGTCTGCTTGGTGTTGGCTTGTTGTTCTCCATGTCTGTGTTGGCTCCCTCTTCAATTCAGTCCATGGCTGAAACATCGCCCTTTTTGAAGAAGACTGTTGACCACCTGAAAGATCCTCTTTTTCCGTTCGTGGATGTACACGGCCACCACACACAAGAAACACCTCGTCTCCGCGCTAGTTCATCTGTAGACAAGCATGTGGAGTACGTCAAGTGCGAGGAGCTTCTCAAGTGGGTCATGTATCACTTGTGACGGGCAAGAACCTCCACCAACACATAAGACTAGTCCTTCAGATTGTAAAAAAACATATATCAAACACCTCGGGCATAGGCTCGGCTAGGTGATGTTTGATGTGGTGCACCAAGTAAAATCAAAAATAAACTCTATTGCCCATGAAATCCCACCCCCGCAGGCCATCTCTTGAGGCAATTCCTCACCTCAGTGCAGGCTTGACACTGAAAATCTACCATCAAAACTTAAACCACGGCAAGTAACTTGAGTTCAAAGCTGCTGTATCTACTGAGAAACAAGGATAACTATATAGATCATTCTGGAAATTAGCCCAGCTGGAGACCCCAATAGCAAGATACAAACCGGGACAAAAAGAAAAATCTGGACACAGCTGCTGTTTTCAACACATCGACCATCTCTGCCTTGGACACCATCATCACATAACCGGGACACCATCGCAAAATGACCAGGGCACCATCAAAACATGACCGGGACACCGTCACAACATGATTGGGACACCATCACAACATAACCGGGACACCATCACAAGGTGACCGGGACACCAGCATGACATGACGGGGACACCATCACAACATGACCGGGACACTATCACAACATGACCGGGACACCGTCACATGACCCGGACACCATCAAAACATAACCGGCACACCGCCAAAACATGACCAGGACACCATCACAACATGACCGGGACACCATCAAAACATGACCGGGACACCGTCACAACATGACCGGGACACCATCACAACATGACTGGGACACCGTCACAACATGACTGGGACACAATCACAACATGACCGGGACACCATCACAAGGTGACCGGGACACCAACATGACATGACCGGAAAACCATCACAAGATGACCAGGACACCATCACAACATGACCCGGACACCGTCGCATGACCCGGACACCATCAAAACATAACCGGCACACCGCCAAAACATGACCAGGACACCATCACAACAGGACGGGGACACCATCAAAACATGACCGGGACACCCTCACAACACGACCGGGACACCATCAAAACATGACCGGGACACCATCACAACATGACCGGGACACCATCAAAACATGACCGGGACCGGGACACCATCAAAACAGGACTGGGACACAATCAAAACATGATCGGGACACCATCACAACATGACCGCGCCACCATCACATGATCGGGACACCATCAAAACATGACCGGGACACCGTCACAACACGACCGGGACACCATCAAAACATGCCCGGGACACCATCACAACATGACCGGGACACCATCACAACATGACCGGGACACCATTAAAACATGCCCGGGACACCATCACAACATGACCGGTACACCATCACAACATGACCGGGACACCATTAAAACATGCCCGGGACACCATCACAACATGACCGGGACACCATTACAACATGACCGGGACACCATTAAAACATGCCCGGGACACCATCACAACATGACCGGGACACCATCACAACATGACCGGGACACCATTAAAACATGCCCATCACAACATGACCGGGACACCTTCAAAACATGACCGGGACACCATCCGCCCACCAGCTCTGACGATGACCCGACGGCGCCCGTCCGCCTATTAGTTTTGCAAGACCCCATAGCATGGCTATTGGGGAATTGATCTGTTCAAGGGAGGTTTTCTCTGCTTGGCATAAGTTGCCCAAAAAGAATCAAAGATTAGCAGGCAAAGCTGTTCGACATCGAAGTGTCCCACCCGTTTGGCACACTACGCCGTACTACGGGTACCCCGGTGCGCAATTCCTCGTCAATCACTGTGAACCCTACACCTCCTGGTGGAGTTCAACTGCTCTTCACTCCAGAAAACGCAACTCAGCTGGACGTCTGGATGCTGTAACTCTCATCTTCCAGCTCCCGAAAAATGTAAAGAAGCCAACCGCTCCTTCCTAACCGCTCTCAAAACTTCTTGCAAGGCGCTGATCTGCCAGTAGCGGCCTTCTCCACGATCGTCCGGACCCTCCACGCTGCCATCGTCGCCCGGATGGAGGGTGCAAAGCCAGTTGCCTGGGTCCGTCGGGTCCGTCGGGTCCGGGTTGTGAAGGAGGCCGAATTCGCGCAAGTTCGATGGGCGAGTTCGGTCTCTCGTCCCATCTATGTGCAACTTGTTTTGTGCCTCCCTCACACCTGGTCAAAGGCCCTGGAAAGAGCCTACCATGGTAAGTCTCATGGGGTGGGAAGTGTGAACCCATGCTTTACCCCATGACCTTTCCAATTCTCACCCCAACAAAAACTGGAAGCATCGTGGGAAAGTTGTCCGGCTTCGGCTAGCCCAGCGGCGGTTCAACAGAATCTGGAAAGAATCTCCAACTTCACTTCCAAGCCGCACCTGCCACTTCCGAGCTGTGGGGTCCGCCGGTTTTGGGGACAAAGTCGATCGGGGAGGCATCACCTGCAATTTGCCAGCCCTGAGTTTTTCTGTGAAATTTGATCCTCATTGTCGAAAAAAACACCTAAAACCCGTGATCTTGGAAGGAACACGGGGATTGAAAAAAGAAAGTCTTTTCACACGAGAATCACTTGACCACTCTGGATGTTCTGGCTCAAAGGAATCCTCTTGAGCGAAATGTTGCAGTAGCTTGCTGCGAAGTCACCTTGTGAAGACTGTGTGAGTTGGGCAAGGTGCATTCAATGGTTGCTTGGTTGCTTGGTTGGTTGTGGTTTGGTTTTGGTTTTGGCTTTTGTGTTGGTGGTGGTGGTGGTGGTGGTGGTGGTGGTGGTGGTGGTGGTGGTGCAACAAAATGGTTTTTGTGCTGCAACAAAATATGGCAAGCCTAGCTATAAAGGCCCTGCATAAGGGTCATAATGAGATTTGCAGAGCAAGTGTCGAATCGACTCATGAGAGGAAATACTCCGTCAGAGCTACCAGTTCAGACGAGCAAACAGCCTAGTAACAACAGCACACCATAGGTTCAGCAAAGATTCAGCAGGATTTGCACAAGAAGTTACTGTGAACATGGAGTGTGCAGTCGAAAATACTGATATCTACGGACGGAGAGAGTCCAACAAGCTGAATCAGCCGAGAAAGTGATGGCATATGCCCGGACAAGCCGGCATGACGCAGGTGGACTTGCAGAGACTGGCACCAACGAGAAGAACCACCTCCATTGGAAGGTGTCGTCCCAACATGTATATATAATGTTCAATTACTTGGTGTTACTTTGCGAAAAGTTGCGACTGGCATCGTTTTGGTGGAAAGGCTCTTCATGTCCGATCTGCACGAATCTGCTGAAGCACCCACCACTGACTCGGACTGCGCGCAGTGCGCAACTTGGGGACACCACTGTGCGCCTCGGCAGACCACGTACCAGAAGCGCCAGGCAGGAGCTCCTGGGAGTGACTATGAAGAGAAGAAGATCCAGAAGCACCTGCTTGGGGTTGTGGCTCTGCTAAGCTCCAAGGGAACGGACAAAATGAATGCTTCAATGGCCCGTCGAAAGAAAGTCGTGATAGTCCTCCCACATGTGAGGTGCTGTATCTTCTGAGTACTGTGGGTAAGGGAATTACCCACCTCAAACGCCTGGATCCAAAACCAATCGTTTTGGTGTTAAAACGACAGCTGGGTGTGGCTGAATCTTCTATAGCTTCTTCAAATATCATTTCGATTGGCTCCACTCCTCACAGGTCTCAAAGTTGTCCCACGAGCCAGCGACATAGTATCTTTGTGCCCCCGCCAAGGCCTGGCTCTCGTCAAAGGCTGATGTTGTAAAGATCAGCAGATTTGGATACTTTAACGTAGTACCGTGCGGTGCAACCTTTTTCAGCCCCAGTGCAAGTGAAAGAATCGGGAGTGGCAAACTAACCACAAATTTTGTCCCAGAGATTCTTGAAGTCTTCAAAAAAATGAAAATACTGTAACTGTCTGGGGCAAAGGACTGGCGTTACTGGGAGAATGTTCAAGAGGCATCAAAGGTCAGAATAGGGAGACCCCACAACGACCCCCTGAGACAAGCAAAAAATAGACCAAAGCGGATTGGTTGGGGGTCTCACTAACAAGATACAAATCTACTCTGCTCCTGCTTTTGGGTTACGGTGATCCCAAAATAGTACCGAACATCGAAAAGTGAATCTCCTCTAAAAGCACGTTGGAAACTGTTGGGAATCTCTGACCATGCCAGGCTCAATTGTCGGAACCTCCGGCCGCTTGTGTGTCCAGCCTCCAGGTCAACCTCCGAAAAGCCGACATGCTCCCAATGAAGCCTTCGCTTGGGCCTCGAGTCATGAATGTGTGGAGAGATCCAAGCCTGATGCACATCTACCAGCGTCATTTTGGAGCATCCAAGCAAATCCCTTCGTTCGTCATGACCAGGATTGGATGGAACTGATTGAAACTCCTAGAACGAAGAAGAAGAAAAGGTGGTCTCTGTCGCTATATCCAGGAAAACGCTTTAAGCAGCCATAGTCCTTCGCCCTTCGCTCAGATTGGGTGGGTCTTCAACACCCTAGTGAGCGCATGAACGAGCACTCCAAAGGCAGGTTGGCGTGTTTGTGCGACTTATTGAGGCACTCCTAGCTTGAAACATCTGCAGCATGGAGAAACTTTGGTTCAGGGTATCCAAGATGCATCTGCAGTAGCGTAATACCCAAAAGCCCTAACCTCTCATTTGGGATTATATACTTGGATGAAATTGGCTCTGGAGACCAGTCACCACAGAGCGTGCTAGGGGTCATTCAACAAGTCCTGCACCACACGAGACTTCCGATGACACTCGGCTTCCCAGTTGCCATGATCCACTGTCTGCTACAGGCACCCGTTATCAAGCAAGGGTTCCCGGATGAACGCAAAAGCAAGATGATTGGACCAAACGGGACATGGGTCCAACAACACCTGCAAGCAAACTAGGGGGTTCATAGCCATGTTGTTGAACAGATCTATCTTGAGCAGACCGGATTTCGAGATCCTGGCGCCACGACTATGTATATAGATCTATGCACTCTGTTCATTGTGGTAGCTGGTAGACACTCACCCGTGACGATTTCACATCTCTGTAAACGCCTGCACCAAAGTATGTCAAATTTGTCACAAAAAAATCTGAATAGACGCCAATTGTTTCCAATCGTGACATGCAGCATGTTCAGCATGTCCCTCCTCATTCCATAGCGACCAACTTGTGCGGACCCCCTTCCAGTGCGACAGCCAAGAATCCAGTCGAAGACAACTCCTGAATTGAGTAGTTCCAAGGAAGATTCACAAGTTAAAAAATATCGAAACTTTAGCACTCGGCATATTTAAGCAAAACACTATTGCCATACAGTTTACTTAGGGCGAGCGTTGGGCGAGTGGTAAGCACAGCGAGGGTCCAAGAGCTTCATCAGCGGTCACATGACCCACCACTGACCGTTTGTCTTGAACACGGACCCAAACAACAATCAAGCTTGTATGTACGCTGATGTACAGTACTTGGTGTCTCTTCTTAGAGGTGTGGCGTTGCACTTTACAACCATCACATGTCCATCAAAGTCTAAACGCACCCCGAAAAAACAAGCATACAAAGGGTCAAGGCACTGGGCATCGCCCCAACCCCACACTATCTATAGCAGTCCAAGTTGATCCCCAGAGCAACCACCAAGCACCAATCTTGCCACTCCAACCATGAAAGCTCCAGTCTTCCAGCTCATTTCGGAACACACAGAATTTGTTCGCTTCAGCTCATTCTGGAACGCATGATTCGGCTCATTTTGGAAAGCATGTGATGTCATATCGGCTCGCTGTTTCTTTTCGACCGCAAACTGTTCAGTCGCCAGCCGCCGGTCAGCCACGCCAGGGCTTACGCAAAAGGCCCGCATCAGCCAAGCGGGCATAGCTCGGTCACGGCTCCAGCGCTGATAGATGGCAATCCCGAGTGGATACAGCAGATCGAAAGAAGCTGCAACGGGTGTTCAAAGGAGAGCATGACATCCACCCAGTGTCTCCTTCTGCACTCCGCCTTCATCATTCGCTTCCCGGCCCGCTGCTGCATCAGTCGGGAGCATCTTCTGCGACTGCGCGCTCGAGAGATCTATACGGGGGCGACGCAATATCAAGGTGTCCAGGAACAGCCCTTGCACGGCGCAATCGCGATTCTTTCAGGTAGTTGCATGAACAAGGCGTGGGGCTAAACTCTGGAGGACATCCTGGTGAAGGACTTGCCTTGGGGTGTGAATCTTTTGCGCGCGCATACGCAGGCTCGGACGGCGTGCGCTCAGGTTTGACCTCAGTGAGCACGTGTTTCTGGGTGAGAGGGGCCTGTTGTGAGCGGCAGAAAATTGAGACAAATGCTATTGTTTGTTGCAAATCCTCAATGAAATGAACTCAAGTACGGACAGATTGCACTTTTAAGCACATACTTCTCACGCAACTACGCGCTAAAATTGTAAGAAAAACTGCCAAGTTGTATAATTTCCTTTCACGTTCCATTAACCTAAATTGCAGAAATTCGTTTCATGTACCCTTTAACCTTGATTAGTTCATGTTTTTTCCGCCCACAAGTGATTTGTTCCTTTCTTTTTCCTTAAAATGATCAAGTCCTTTCATTTATCCTTTGAAAACTGTTCATTCCTTTCACGTTCTTCTAAAGAAGCACTTCCACTCATTTTGCCTTTACAAATGATGACTCCCTTTCATTTTCCCTTTTAATTTGAACAATTCCTTTCACTTTCCCTTCTAAAATGATCACTTCATTTTCCTTTTCCCTTTAAAAGCGACTACTTCTTTCCACTTCTAAAAGACATTGATCATCAATCAAATACAGGCACATGTCCTCTCACGCCACGCATCCAGCAAAGCCAGTGGCAAGCTGTGGATTTGATCAGATGTTGCTCCAACGTGTTTGGCAAAAGTGGGACGTTGATTCTCATGCTAGACATGGACACTGCTCAAACCAGACAGCCACATGACATATTGTTCTTTCCACAGCGGCTCCATGCAAAACTGTGAGCAGATTGTTATCTACATGGCCCGGTAACAGGACCCAAACTACTCAGCTTTCAAGTATTCCACTTCTTGCTTTTCTGGCCCTTCTTGCGCGACTCGGTTGCGGTACGGCGGGCGATGTGATGCGAGGCAAGGACTGCAGGATATTGTAGGCTTCCTCCGCCCAGAACTTGTGACTTTGAGGCCGCAAGCTGTTCAGGAAAAAGTTCATAGGCCGCAGCCGCGCATTGAAGATCTCAGCCAGCTGTGCGATCACGGAGTACCTGGCGTACAGCATCCTTTCTCTTGCAATGGCATGAGCGCTCGCATTCATCTATGAATTTCATTGGGCGGCCTTTCTTGGCAACAGTTCGACAAGGCTCGATTGCCTTGAGAGGCAGGGCGGACACCTCGCGCGATGCCTCAGTAACACGTCCCACTGGGGCCTCCAATGGCAGGCACTGCAGACACGCCGCAGTGTGACAAGCCTGCTGGAAGACGTCCGATGGAAACATTGTTGTTTTGTTTTGATTGATTTTTTGGTCTTTTGAGAAAACTTGCTGTGAAAACTTTTTCTTTTACATTAAGTATGATGAATCCAGGTTCATCTGTGCTTCTAGAGTGCGGCAGATAAACGCAGTCAAATACAGTCACACGTCCTCGCATGCCACGCACGCAGCAAAAGCCAGTGGTAAGCTGCGGCCTTGATCAAATTTTCCTCCAATATATGATATATGTCCCAAGAGTATCAATCTTCTGCCGCCCACAACAGGCCTTGCTTCTGGGTTGGGTTGGAAGTTGGACACTTCTTTTTTGGCATTGGGGTGGGTTGGGTTGTATTGTATACTCCTGATCGCGCTTGTTTTTAGCTGTGTATAATTGTCATGATTATTCATATTGTTATCATTATTGGTAGTATCATCGTTTCAGTACTCATAGAACTATATCCATGTTTGAAACCCCGGCTTTCAGGCAGATGCAGAGAGATCCCAAAACATTAAAATTGTAAAAGATGCATTGAAAACATACAACCCTGAAATACACATTTGAACTGGCCCTGCTTCCCAAACAACATTCTCAAATGAGGGCCACACAATGCAAATAGCACCCACCAAGGCAATTGAATTGTGAGTCACGTTGTTCTTACGCGTTTTCAATAAGCATTTTCGCGAATTTGCTGTTTTTTGCATTGTTGCAAAATAAAAGCAAAGGCAGTCGGGCCGCAACATCAGCAAGCACCCTCGTCGACGCGTCAGCAAAATGAAAAACTGCAAAATTTGGCTCCGCAACCCGTTTTGCAAATATTGTATTTTGTGGGGTATCTTTTCGTGGGTCGTATTTTGTATGTGTTTGTATTTTTTTTCGCGGGTCTTAACTTTTTGTCTTTTTTGTCTTGTTTTTTGTATTTTTGTACTGTTTTTGTTTTTGTATTGTGTGTGTGTATTTTGTATTTTTGTAATTGTTGAATTTTTTAATGCTGCTTTTCGTATTTTTGTACGTTTTTCGTATTTTTTGGCGGCTGTATTTTCTTCGAATTGTTGTATCTCTTGTATTTTTTGAAAAATTACGAGAAGCAGACCGTATTCTTCGCTTTTAAATTTAAAACACAATTTTCAGCCTCGAACTGCGAACCGGCAAACCCCACCATGACAACCAGCGAAACGTGGTCAGGCTACCTGACGACCACGAGAGGCTGTTCCGAAAGACAAGAGGGCCAGCTTCCCATCCCACCCATATCAACGCGTATCAAGTAGCAATTTCCGTAAGTATTGCTTGCAGCTTTGCATATTTGTAAGGGTTGTGTGCTTGAAAATACAAAAATCAAAGTGTGTTTTAAAAATACAGTGGCCCGAGGGGACTTAATTCACCTGCGCGAAGTCTCGTCGCGCCGATTTCATGCGCAAAGTCGCCAGCGAAAATGGCAGACCTGTCTGGCTCAGATGTGCTTGTCGCAAGTGCCACAATGCGGTACGGAGACAGCCATAATGGACCGTGTATTCACAATTCTTTGACTTCAAAGTGTCTTGGAGTGACTGGCTTGGAATGGCACCTTCAATTTGACCCGCGCGTGGCTTACAAAAGGTATGCTACCTTGGAATGGCACCTTCCTTCTGTAAATTTGACCCTTGCGTGCCTGACAAAAGGTCTGCTACCTTGGAATGGCACCTGCCTCATCTAAATGTTATCCTGGCGTGGCTCACAAAAGGCATGCTTTGGAGTGGCACCTGGCATGGCTTTTATCCTGCGCCGAGCATCGGATGAGCTCTCCCAGCGTCCCAGAGATGCAGAAGTTCCTCCCATGGCCCAAGCCATCGGGACCCGCAATGGCCTCAAGTGTCGAGAGACGGCGAGTTTCGGTCTTTTTCAAGCAAACGCATCCTGGGCTCCACCTCCATGTTTGTCTGAGCGTCATCTCAAACATTCTGGAGGAAGCACCTACATAAAACTTTTTTGGTCAGCTGGCCTCCCCGGAGATCACGCCACCTGGGCAGCCGCAAATCATCAGGTCGGACTGAGGGGAGAACACCCGGAAGAGGTGAGGCAAGTCGTAGTAGAGTGAGGCTGGTACCTTTCCAATTTGAAGTCTTGAAGTCGAAATGTTAATCACCAAAGCCCCTCAAGGCCTGTGACATGTTGCATGCACCATGCACACGCTGAGTGTTAGTCCCGTCTGACCAGACCAGACCAGACCAGCCAGAGAGAGAGAGAGAGAGTTCTTGCTCGCCTACACATGCTGTTCATGTCTGGCTCAAACCTGAAACCAGCAAGGTTACTTAATGCGCACAAAGCTACTGCCCCACCAGGTGGTCAAAAAAGTCTAGAAAACCTGGAGGAAAAGCGTCCATCCAACATCCTGAAAATCCTGAAAGACTATGTGTTTGTGAACCTATCTATTTGGCAATTATACAATATTCCCAAACCAATCTGAGGTCCCCCGCTGTCCGTGCCTTCTTTGCTGGGCTCAGCTCGTAGATCCCAAGCCTCAGCTGTGTCAGGGTGCTCACGGATTGAGCGTCTGGACGGCTGTGCATAAAACCTCCAGTGAAAGGATCCAAACAGTAATACTCCTTTGCCAGCCCATTCCACCATAGATGAAGATCACCAAGGGCCTTTATGACATCACAATCTCTTGCCACTGCTCGCGAAGCCAGTAGGCTTTTGTACCCATGGTCTGGAGATTGTGCACAGATTCGCAAGTAGCAAACCAGCTGGCCGGAACCTCTCAAATCTTTCATGCGTGGAAAAGATGCAGATCTGAGCCAGAGTGTTCATAACCTGCCAAGGTGCTGGATAGAAGCCTTGATCAAAATCCTCGTCCACGTAGATCTGGAACTCATTCTTCTCCTGCTGTGACCAGAGCGCTGCATCTGGGGACGGTTTGTATAACACTTAACCCTCCCAAGTTCAATCAGAATGCACGAAGGTGCTCCTGAATCAAAGGGTATGCGGGCTTCCAGAGAGGCAATCGAAAGGCAGGGTTGCGCTGAATTATGCAACATGGGGCTGTTCTCCAAACTATTTGTCCAATTCGTCTGTCGCGGATTCGTCCTAAATAGAGACTTATATACTTGCGTGAACCTTTCCTAAACCCAGGTTTGGTTGTTCACAGGTCTTCAGAACCCTGAGCTTGGTCATACGGCCCTGGAAAACAGCACACGCTGCGAGCCTTCAACACGGCAACTTGTGCAAAGAAGTTCTGGGCTCGTATTGAACTATCGCACCAAAGAAGGTCAATTCCGACCCCAGCAAATTACCTCTCGCATCGTGTACAAGCATGGCTTGAAAGGGTCTTCATGAACTGAATCCTTCAAAGGAACTTTTGAGTAACTCCGAGCACATTATGACTATGAGAAACTCTCAAGACTTGCTGTAAGACGCCTCACTCCTTCTGCCCTTTGCTGCTACCCTTTGCAGCTCACTCATCCGGTTGTCCTTCAGGAGCTTGATCTCTGCTTCAAAGACATCCCCACCCTGGCAAACGCTTCAGCTCGGATTCATCCTGGGTGCGAACCATCTGTTGAAGGACTTCTTGCTTTGGGGCGGGTGCTGTTCCTTGTACACTCGTCATCTTCTCAACCCTGTCACAGACACATGTGGTTGATAGATGATACCTTTGTGAATTGAGGGGTGGAGGGAGAAACACACACACAAAGACATGAGCACCGGCCCACTGATCTCTGTCCAAGTACTTAAGCTCTTGCTGGATAGGACCAGGAGGGACTTGGAAATCCACTGGGAACTGGAGGTATTTAACTGTTTAACTGCGAACAGGTTTGATTGCCAAGAACTCCTTTTTTTGTTGTATATGGTACACGAGGTGGAGGAGGCTAAGGATACCAGAAGCGTGGCCAGTCAATGAAACGCTGTTGGAATTTAGGAACTTCCTCGTGGCCAACCGATCCGCGGCCTCTTCTCGGGACATGGCTTCGAACTCCCAGAAGCTGTGGTCCCCGATGAGGCCTTAAAAAGAAGCAGCACAAGCAGAAGCAATCAGAAGGGCCACCAAAAGCTGGACTGATGATCTTCTTTCCATTGAAGTCCATGGACAAAATTGCGGTCCGAATCGAGGCCTTGTCCTTCCTCAAACAGGAGCCAGCGGCTAGTTACCAGCCAAATCCCAGGTGGATCGCAATGGAGGTTGGCAGTTGTCCTGGCTAAACACTGAAACTCTGGATTTCAGGAGCTTCCTATATTTTACATGTTGGCAGTAGTAGTGATGATGGATGCTCACTTCCCCATCCCATATCAACCCCCCTTCATGCGTTGATCCCAATACACCCAGCACCTTCCTGCGCACCGCATTCTGCCAAGCGTCTCAGGCTGGAGTATTCCGGCGGGAAGGGCGTGAGAGAGACCTTTCCGCATTGCTGTCATCGTGCCACATGCTACTAGTAGCTTCCTGCTACTGGTAACAAGTGCATTGCTACTAGTAACGAGAGCGTTACTAGTGCAAAAGAGTCTCCCCACCCGTAAAGCGATTGGCGCCAAGCCGGTCCGCCAACGCCTCTGCGACCTCACTCCCCCGTCACTTCCCCCGTCACTCGACTTCGGGATGAACGATCCCTTCGCTGAATGATGAATCAAATGACAGTCATCAGAAAGAGGATCATTCGCCGGGTATGACCCGGCCATCGGAATGACGGTCATTGGCCGGGTGATTAGAAATGCATCAGATGTCGGTCCGGCCTTCTGCCAGGAAACCCGCTTGTACTTGCCGTTGACTTGCAGCCTGGCTTAGGACACTCTGGACGACCGTAGCCACTTGGTCTTCCTGTGTGTGGGTGTGTGCGTGTGTGACTTCACTGCCACTGATCATGCGTTCTAAGAGCAAGGAATGCCTTGATCCTTACCCTCCCAATAACTGCCATAGAAACTGGTGGACCACAAGGTACAAGAATTTCATCTTACAAACGCTGTCTGGCAGTCTCCTTGATTGTTCCACAAAGGGTACTTCTACTGACCAGAACGCAACTACAAAAATCCTGTGCTGTCAGCATCAGCACGAACCAAACAACTCTGGTGCTTCAGTTCTTTCATATCCCAACTGGTCCAAAAATGACACTTGTCACAACTCTCATGGGCCTCTCAAAATGTCCATTAAAGAAAACGAACAAGATTCGGAGACCCCCCCAAAGTCCTAGTCTACCTTTCCCTTGCACATCTGAGAAATGTCAGTAAAAGAAATCAACGAACACCTGACCTACCAATGTCGACCATACGGGGTCGACCCCGTCGCGCGCCTGAGCTCAAAGCGGTCACCTGGCTGGCCCACGATCTTCCAGCTCTGGGACCTCGCACCGATCCGCACCGATTCGCCCGTGCGAGGTCAAGCGACCGGCCCTGACCAACGGAGGCGTTGCGACCATAAACAGAACGGCCCTAAAGAGTCATGGCAGAGGAGTCCAACAGAACATCAATAAATCACAGGAATTAGAGACTGCCAGTTGAAAGCTCAGCTGGTGGGTATGCATCCGAGCCTAGCTTGTCGAGTCATCAAAAGGAAAGCCATGCCAATGAAACGACATGTTTAAACTTCGGGCGACTGTACTGCGAAAGCATCATTTCATTGAAACCCTGCACATTCAACCTTTTTATAGGTGGTGGCGGGCCGTCTCCGTCGACAAGGGTCACTCCAGAACAGAATAGAACAGCTTATCCCGAAAACATGATGATTGCGCATTCCACAAACATGTGTACATTCACAAATCTATACACTATTTCCCCCGGTTCCCCCACTCATCCTCTATGGACAACGGGAGAATCTCAGACTTCATCGTCTCCACCAGATGGATCTAGGAGCCCCAAACAAGTCGTGCCAGTACGGAACCCAACGCCCAGCACATCCACATGCACTGGAGAAGCTGGTGCCCTACAACTGTTGAGGCACCTCTAGCTTAGTGTCAATTTGGAAACGGAGAGAAATTTATGGTATAGCAAGCCCAAACCTCTTCCCCACCACCACAGCCTTGACACACCATCGTCAGGTCCAAGGACGATCGAATCAGAAATCTCCAGATTGCCTGGATGCAGCACCTCACAGCTCGGCGCAATCTCTTTGGTGCAACACACCGCCTGTTCCCAATGCAAGGCATGGTGTCCCATCCAACACATGCCCATGAAATCCCCCGGCCTTGCTGGCGTGTCTCATGGGTGGTGATGCGTTTGTTTTGTTGTGATGTGTGCGCTGTAGCTGTAGAATGTTGCTCTTGGATGGATTTTGGTTGCGTCAACCACCCCCCAGCCCACCGTACTGTATCTCTTCATCCTCTTCGTCTTTTTCGTCCTCTTGGTCTTGTTTGTTCTCATTGTCCTCATTCTTCTGTCCGATACGCTCGGCTCAACTCTGGGTTTCTACCAACGATCATGTCCCAGAACTATTCTATCTTTTTGTCCCCAGTTAATTTCGACAAGATTAACTTGTCGCAGTTTCACCATATCAATTCTTATACTGAGACATGCACGGCATAAATCTTTCATACAAGCATATGACTGTGGACATCACCGCGGCCTCCCGGCAACCCTGCATCTCGGCTAGTGAGAGTCCGGCAGGGTTGCCGGAGGCTTTTTAAATATGAATCATTGAAAGTAAATAGAATCTAAAACATGTTCGTCAGCGGGGAAGCTACCAATCCTCCTGCACAACTCCCACAAACCTTAGAAGAATACTGTGTGCCATGCTCTCCTGGGCTTGCGACACTGATGTGCAATCCATCTTTGGTCTGCAAGCTGATTGATTCTTTGGCCACGTTCCACCAAGCTCTTTGCCCGCTGGGATCTCCCACACATTGCGGATCTCGATCAAGCCAGATCTGGAACTTCTCCCAGCCTCGGACGCCGGGCGCTCGGCCTTTTTGGGCTCGCGGGGACGTTGGGGAATTCATGGGCCTCATTCCAGAATGGAAGCTTGAGCTGGTGAGCCTGGGATCACATCTTGGTTCTTGGACAGAAACTAGACTGCACATCTATCTATCCCCAACAACTGCCCAATGCAATGTCGGAAAGCTTGTCCACCAACAGCATCAAAGCCGCATGATGCAATAAAAAGTGTGTAGGCTCTGCGATCTAATCGCCATCTCAGGCTGAAGGTCGGAAGCCACGACTGCTACTTCCTACGAAGATCCTGGAGCTTGGAGAGAGAGCCAAGTGCTCTCTCCTGGTTGGATGAGAGTTCCCCTTTCACACCGGAGGCCGGTCTCCGAGGCTCCGGCCGGTCTGCCGAAGGGTCACGACACACGCAAAGCTTCGCTCGCTTCGCTCATCGTCCTTGCACCAACGTTCTCAATAGGCTCAGGATGTGTTGGAGAGACAGACAGTGTTAGAATAGGAAGACCCCCAAAGACTTTTACCGACAAAAGCAAACCAACTTCCAATTGCCTGGCTGGGCGGGGTCTCTATATTCTGCACCCTAAGAGGTTGTCTCAGTCCTCGCTGGGCGATAGCAGTAAACCATCCTTCCAGGAAGTCATCGTCCCAACCACATAGAAGCCCGAGCTCATGACGATCACATCCTCTCCAGTTGACGAACTCGTCGACGAACCATGCAAAGCAGGCTTCACAGGTTTTGACCAATCTAATCAGGCGAAGGCATCTCGCAGTTGAAGGAAGGACATGTAGTGCAAGGACCACACAGGAGTTTAAATTTGTCCAAGGCTACATCCAATGCAGTTATCCCACAAGCAAAGCATGCAATCTGTGTATTCAGACTACCAATTTTGGAGCTGGGTCAACATGATAACATGCCTAGTATCATCCATCTACAGTACCATTCCAAAATGTATCAGCTAAACGACGATCCTCCAAGCCGGCGAATAGGGTTCAAGCATGTTCGATCCAAGGAAACTATTTCGGATCGACGGGTTGAAACTGATATCCTCAATTTGATCATGATCCTCACTCCACCTCTATATGTTACATAAGTTACGTAAGAATATATATATATATATCCAGGATCCCTTCGCCCCGCGGTGTCACCAGCGCCACCAGCCTTCTGACGGCTCTCAGTCGGCCACCAGGACACGCGTTTGGGCCGACCAAGCGCCTGCACTAGTCGGTTAGGGCCATGCCACAAGAATGGCCAAATGCCACGGGTCAGCTGGCCGTTCTGACCATAACATGCTTGGGAAGCTTGGCAAATGTTGCTCTAAGCATCGAAATCTCACTTGTTGCTGGTGTCCAGAACACTTTGGGACAGTCACTCAAATCAAAAAGCTCTAAGCGACAAGAAAGTGCATTGACATTGATAGAGCAATCTTGTGGTTTGATGGGCAAGTCTACCCGATATACGGACCTCTCAAGGAGAACCCAATTGGTCAGAGACCTGTGCAGTAGAAAACCATTCATCGACCGTCGATTGGACCCAACTGTTTTGCTAAGGGCACTATGTTGCCGGTTGATCCCCCGTCATCATCAAACCACGTCCCCTGCCAAACAAGACCTTGGGCACGGAGGAGTTTTGATATTTTCAGCACTGCAAAACAATGTTGTAAAGAAAAATCAGTTGGTCACTTCTCTGGGCCTCAATTGTCAAACAGCCACCTGCTAGTGATCGATCTACACATGCAGTGCGGCAAGGCTCGCTTAAGCTGTCCTTTTAGAACGTAAGGAGTCCTTGATTCACCTGTCCTTGGACGGGCCGACTCGAGCAGCGGGAGTCATTCCAACTTTGCGGCGGTTTTGGGGAGGCTCCAACGCCAACCCAAACACAGATCTAGCGAATCTAGCTGTTAGCTGCGGCTCCGGTTCTGGCACAAGGCAATCCAAAACGGAAGTTCCCTCGCTGGCACCAAACCAACCAGGTTCGCTCAAAGGGCCTTGTGCGGGTACTTCACCGAAACCAATTGTTGAGCATTGGTACCTGGCCAGGTTGGAAGTGACATAAGCCAGTGGCGTGCGTCTTGACAAATCTCTGTTACTCCCACTGTGAACCTTTGCAGGTCTTCCAAATGTCAGCAAACTACCAGCTAGGCAGCACATCTGGAGTATCAGTTCGCTTCCACCAGCTGAGCAACGTACTCGGCAAATAAATTTGCTTCATGCACACATATGTGTATATTATATATATATACAAATATATTATATATGCAATTTGCCATGTGCAAGGCTTTTGGTCTAGTCTTGGACTTGGATGTCGCGAAAACCAGGTGTCTTTGTTCAGTTACGCGTTTGAGAAGTAACACAGGCCGGGGCCCAACAACAAACTTACATGGACCAACTTCTGCAGTCATGCTTGATGTCTGTCAACATGTTTGGAAAAGATTTCAGCGCAGGACCGTCCTTAGTCAACGCAAAACTGCCCGAGGAATCCCACTGCAACTAATGGTGGTTCACGGATGGAAACCAACCTTCGACAAGAAAGTCATCAATCAGAATCTGAATGAACAGCATCCAACAAAAATCTCCCGCGTCACTCCCTCACCTCCATCACTCACGCTACCCTCCTTCGCACCGCCGTGCTCTGCCACGTCACCGCTTTCCGCCGTTTGCCAAGTGGCCTGTACCGAAGGCGGCCACGCTCGCCAGCTGCGTGGTGGCAGTGGCCCCGATGGCCTCCGTCAAGAAGCTCAGCCTGGAGGGTCAAATGCATGGACCGTTCGCCGTTCGCATATATATATATATATATCAGGAACCGAAGGAGGCCTGGAGGACGATTGCCCGACGCCTAGTCTGCTCCAAACCTAGTCTGCTGCAACTGCAAAGGAATGTCCAAAAGATATCCGAGCCCTTCAAATCAATCCAAGTCGACTTTCACCCAACTAGTACCAACTAGCATTCCTCGCACCTTCCAAGATCCAATGGCCAGACCGCATCAAGAGTGGAAGGCACTGAAAGACACGCATTGTACATGGCAGGTCTCTTGACAACATCTTTCTCATTGAGATCTGGGGTGAGCATACTCAACACAGCCTCGTCGGACTTGCTATTGAATTGGAGCCCCACCCTACTGCCCTGCCAAGCAGGCTTGGCACCAAGCTGTGGCCAGGCCTGGGAGCTTCTTCCAAAGCCAGGAGCTGATGAAGGTGAAGCTGGGGTCCGTAAAGGCTTTTGCCCTCAGCGCTCTGCTGGCAGAACTCAGAGGTCAAACCTTCATGGCTAAAAAATTTCTTTGGTCATCTTTGGTCCATCTCAGGGTCATTCAAAGCGTCGGGAGATGTCAGTGCCATGGGGTTGCCAGCAAATTCCCAAATAAGCCTCTGTTCCGGTCTGCTGCACTGAGCTGAGCCAAGCTAAATATCAAATCGTGGTTACCTGATTGGTCGCTGAACACAGCTCTGTTGATCACTTAAACTAAACCGCCAGTGGCCGGGTGGGCCTTGCAGATACGGTTTTTCTAGTACAAAAACACACAGACTCTCACCATCGCACGATACATGTTTGCTTCACTCTGGAATCTGGAAGTAGAACAAATCTTGAACTCAACATACCTCAACCATGGCCTATGCCAAATGGGCACGTCATGGACCTGTTCGCAATACAAAACAATCAAAGCTCTTAAAGGTCGTCGAGTCACCAGCAGCAGCAGCGTTCGTGCCAGCGACGCCAACCCGCTGCAAGCACCCAAGTGTCCCCAGGTCGCCTCGCGCGGTTGGCCATGTTGGCCCCTCCAAGCCAGTGGAAAGCAATCCAAAACTGTCGCTTTCGAGTCCGTCCCAAGACCAAAGCGCCACCGGAGAACCGACCAAGCCAGCCGCCCCACCGGCCACCCCACCGCCGCGGCCTTGGCACAGGAGGCCACCACTGGCGCCTTGTGGCGCTCGCCGTGCGCCAGCGCCTGCTGCAAGACCTTCAGCTCCAAGGCGTCGGACCTCGCACGTTTCGACCGAACCTCGAACCGGGGCTGAATTTGAGGCTGGTGAAGCTGATCAGAAGGGGGCCCCTTCCACCAGCTTCGAAGTGGGTAGACATGGGTAAACGGGTAAACCATCCTTCTCCAACTACCTGTCTCCACAGCCATCCCTTGTTCAGCTCATGGCTGTTTTTCCTCCCCTCTATAAAGCAAAGGAATACAATGAGTTGGAAACGTTGCGTGGAAACCATTTCCTTAGCCTTATATAAGAGTTTGCAAGGCCTCACAACCGACGCTCACTTTCGGCGCACAGGGAGTTTGTCTCTGATATTGCCAGAAAGGCAAATACGGCGGCCACGGTGCAACAAACAGCCTTCGTGCAGGCATACAATGTACACGGCATTTGACAGGTATGGATCCAAAATAACCTATCAAGGAAAACTGTGCAAAAGCAAAATATAAAGCAATGTCCCGTGGCCCACCATCTTGGTGTAGACCTAGTCGTGTGCAACATGTGCGACCGCTCCTTCCGACCAGTGGCAGGGCTCCTTTGGAGCTGGTCTCCACGGCGTCCACCACAGCAAAGGGCACCCCAGCATCTCTCTGAGCCTCCAGGGACTGCCGCACTTCTCCCAGCTTCAGTTTAAGGTTGAGCACCGAAGAATGGGTTTGTTCATGATGGCTTATTTACCTATTATCTGATCGATCTGAATCTGCTTGCTTCTACAGCATCCATGAATCGGTGTTCAACTATTATAGATCAAACAAGTCGTTGAAGGAGTCATGTCATGGGCAATAATCTCAGGGTCAAAATCTGGCAGCCAACTCAGCCTGAGCCATGAGGTCCACCATGGCCGCACTTGAAGGTGCAGAAACCAGCTTGACATCCGGGCCTGGTGGAGAGGAACGTTTCTTGCCGCAAGGCAAGACATGCAAAACAACTGCCACATCAAGGAAATGTTGATCTGCAACGAACAAGAACAGAATATTAACATTTGAGGCCATAGGGACACCACCGGTAGGGTCCAGTCTATCCCAGGACCTTCTATCATTTCTTCATCTCCTGCCATCGCCCCCGTGGCATGGCCAGAGTGCCCAGATTTGCCCGAGTGGCCCAACCCGAGTGCCCGAGTGGCGGAGAATTTGAGTTTGAGTCCATCTCTGGTGAGTTCACGACGGATGATATGACTCAAGTTCTGGCTATTCAACCACCTGAAACGACCTGTGGGAGAAAGAGGCAAAGCGGTTTCGAGCAGTCTCGGTATCAAAATCCCGGCTGCGATGTTGCAATGAGCGGTTAGTGCCTATCAGGTTGTCCAATGCTCTTGCCCTCAACTTGTTGCTTGGCAAAATCGGCCTGGCCAGGCTTGGATAGCTCAAAGTGAACGAGTTCTTCTGAAGTCTTCGCCACCCGACCGCTCCGATGCCACGACCCCCCTCGTCCCGGCACGGCCTCGGCTGTTCACCGCGGAGCCGACCTCATGCAACAACAAGCCGACCTACAAGGAACAAGAAACTACTAGGGGCTCCTGGCATCGCTACTAGGAGCGGGGCTCCTGGCCTTACCTCTAGGAGCAAGGACGCTACTAACTAGAAAGGAGCTGTGACACCGACACCTGGTGCAGGTGACCCATTCTTCCCAATTCGGGAAATCCGTGTTTACCTGGAGGTCGTGATGACAAGGTTTTGCAGGCAATCATGTCCCGGTCCCATCCCTTGCCCATATTTAACCTGAACTCGAGCCCAGCTACAATCTGCCAGGTGGATTTCTGCTGCGGCTGCAGCCTGAGCACCACGCAGCCTGGCACCGTTGCATCGTGCCAGGGTAGGCCATGTGATGTCGATTTTTAGATCTTTGGAGACTTTACAAATGACAAACTTAGAAATATAACTCTACATGTTTGCGGATTTGAGACACCCACCATCCAAGTATAGAGTTGAATTCTAGATGCCCAGTGGGACGTGGAGGTAGTTCTAAGCATTGATTCATGGCAGAACTGTCTCGAACCCAGTGGCTTGGCTGAGCCCATGTATGGCGACTTCCTGGGGTGGTGTGTTGACCCCGTTTGGGCACCAGTACCTTCTGTCATTTTGCACTCTTCAAACCCTGCTAAGTTTTCTATGAAATATGTGTAACCGATACAGCATTTGCTTGGACCCAACCAATCAGGCCTGAAGAACATCATGAAGTGTCAGTTTCATCTTGAGGTAACTGGAGGTATCCATTCCAGCTGTGTTGAAACATGTTCCCACGGTCGTGTGCAATGAGTCAACCTGACACCCCGTGACTTTGATGGTGATGATGCTGCTCCCCAACTGGTGATTTCTGTGAACTTGCTTGAAAAAGAAAATGGGGCTACAGTAGCTGTTAGATTCGGCCCGCAGGATATGAAGTAAGCTTGTGAGCAATCCACAAGATAAACCATTGCACGTGTCCTTACCCCTTGTGATCCCATTGGCTTCACCCTCTTTGTGGCCTTCCCCAAGGGTGAAGCCATCCCCCGACTGGTCGAAGCAGCGTGTCCGTCCCGATCTGGAGGCGAGACCTGCGATGGAGTTGGTGGGAACCCAAATGGTGAGTCACAAAGACTTAGTGTACCTAACATAACAGGATGTTGATTTGTGTGTGTACATTCTGTAGCTAGTGTGACCTGGAAAGAAAATAAGAGCTTAGTTCACTCAAATACGGGGCTAACTCAACTCAACACCCGGCACGTTCAAGCTAGCCCCCCCTTTGCTCTCAGTACTGGTTCACCCATCAAAACGTGAAATAGAGAGAGAGAGAGAAAGAGAGGTTGATCAATTTGAAAGGTTTCTTCTCTGCTGATCGATCATGCTCTTTGCTGATCGATCATGATGCAATACCCTCAGTTCATCTAATCATCTAATCTATTCGCAGACCTAATTCTTGAAGCCAACTGAGTTCCGTGTATCGACTTAAGAGCTGTTCTTTCATCTTGAAAGACAATAAGTTTAAGCGTGTCATTGAGAACTGCAATACCAACACATCCTGCAAATCCCTCTATCAACATGGACATGGCTGGCTCAACCAGACCTTCTGCACAATGGAGCGCCAGCTGGCAGGGGCTTGAAATCCAGCTGGCTGAGCTCCTTTGCACGGCTGGCGGCTGCAAGGGAGACAGGGAGTGCAAGACCCTGGTAAAGTGCACACTAAAATATCTAAAAATATGTGTTCCGCGCAGCAGGGAACCTATGCCATATGGACACAAACTCACCACTGAAGTTCTGCTCATTCATTGAAATCTAGGGTCTCTCTACTGGCAAAGGTGGCGAAGGAAAAACTGCAAATGTTGGTCACTGAATGTTGCATACGTAGGTTGAGCCCAAACTCAACTTGCACAGCTCCCCATTACCTTGGCAAAGGTCACAAGACTTCCCTGCTAGGTATTCACTCCCAAAGTCCATGAATCGGGCTTTCAACTGATGAAGTGAAGAGTTTGTTCTTCTCTTCCTTTTGAGCCAACTAAAGTGCATTACAGCAAATCTGTTCCTAGTTATGGACTCTCAGGGTTGAAGCAACTTCCAGTTCCAAACCGGACCATAGTTCCCTAAGAGCTTATTACGGTAGGTGGATGGATGTTCAGTCAGCCCAAGTCCATCGATACCTTGGGTGGGACCTCGATCAACAACTCCCAACAACTCCAGCGCAAAACAGTGAAGCCACCCGAATGCTCGGCATGTTTCTGCCCGAAAAGCACACCTTCTCCCCCCGGACCCTTTGGCCGTGGCACGCCAAGGCGACGGACGTGAGGCCGCTTTTCAAATGGTGGCATGCCATGTCGCAGGCGACCAAGCCGCTAGAGTCATCTGGCGATCGACGCATGGGGCAGGTGTCTTCTGCAAGTGGAGGGACAGGCAAATGAACATGACGAGCATGAGACGAAGGCTTGTAGAACTTGTAGGAGAAACATGTGGTGTCGGGTCGGGTTTGTAAATGGGGCAAGTGCCGTCATTGTGTAAACTATCTTCTATGCTGCTCATATTCCTCCCTCACCCTGTGTGGGATCGGCGCTAGGGCATCTACCCATCTATCCACTTCTCAGTCCCTTCTTGTGGCGGATTGCCTATGGAGTGCCGCAGCGCCTGTGTCCACTGCTCTTGCAGGCCCAGCAAAGTTCAGCCCTTCCGCCACCTGGCCGTGCCGAGCCATCAGAGGTCGAGAAGACCTCCAAAACGCTTTCCGATTTGGTGCTCATCTGTGGCCTGATCGAAACACCCTCTGAAAGCGTATGACCCACGACTTTGAGCTCAGCTGGGACATGCGCAAAGACTAGAAGAGCTGCGAAATCGTTCACTGTCAAAGCGCTCCAAGCTCCAAAAGTTTCAGAACCCCAGCTAATTAACTTGCACCTGAGCGACCCTCGTGAGCTTAAACAGGAGGTGCCTTTCCAAGGATCACCGTGGGCGTCGACCGTGTGTAGGAGCTCCAGGAGCTCCAGCAGCCAATCTCCGGAAGGCCTCGGCTGAATGTCCCGCCAGAGTCACCCACTGCCGATCCACACAATCTTTTGAAGACGAAACCCGATCTAACATGACTTTTGTGTAGAACCTGCTCTCACTAAGGGTCCCGGTCTCGGAAAAGTTAAAGAAAGAAAGGTCTGAAAGAAGCCATGTGTGACGGTAGATTGTCATGTTTTCTCGGTCTGTTCTTCTTGCACAAACGGCCTTTTTGCGAGGGTGGAAGCCGATTCAGACATGTCAGAACATGCCAGATCGAACAATGATGTCCAAGTCCACGACCGAACCTCCAGTTGTTTCAATGCAGTGAACTCACGGTTTCGACGTCATTTGTGGAGTCAAATATGTGGCGAAGGCCGAATTTGAGACCAGTTCAGGTAGCCTCAGGTGGCCTCAGGTGGGCCATTGGAATTGGTGATTTGGAAGGAGCTCTGCGGCTCTACTGGATACATGGGAACAAGCTGGGGAGATGGAATCATGTTCAATGTTCTCTGCAGACTCTACAGTCAAGCCCTTGAAAATGTCTCAATTGGACCCAAAACAAGAAGCTAAAGCACCCGCCGCAAAAGTTGTCTGAACATGATAAATCCACGACTCCGACTCCAATACGCAAAAAAGATAGCAGTGGCATTTGGATGTCGCTGGCACCTGGTGATTGAATTTCGATCTTTTGTAAACCCACAGAGTACAAACGCACCATGTGTTAATATTTGATGAACAAAGTAGTTCTCAAACGCTCGCCTGAGTCCTCGTAGTTCAGAAGTACCTCTTTGGCGCTGATTGACCCATAGTCCACTGAGTGCACAAAACCAAGACACCAGAGAGTCCGCAAAAGAGGCCCCAGTCACAAGGCTTATCCGACCTCCTGGAAATATTGTTGGGAACCAGGCAGCAGGGAGGAGTTTTTTTAGATCTACAACTCTTCTTCGCTATTTCTTGAACTTGTCGTGTTTCAAGGGTGCATGTGGTGCAGTGCCTTTGTTTTGTCCCTGCAATGCTTTTGAAAACTAGTGAAAGGGCCAACGGCTGTTGCCACAAGTTGAAGAAGACCTATGCATCTGTCTGAAAATTTCGTTATACATAATATACATATATATATACATATACTCCAGAAGAACAATCGCTGCAAAGTTCTGTATTACCACATATTGCCGCAAAAAAAAAACTTCAAAACCAGCCCTTTGAATGCTGGTTAAAATCCATAGTCTGGTACTGAACATGTCATTTCGGAGCACAGAAACTCCTCCATTTGTCTTCCCAGCGGTCTTTGTTGCTGCTCAAAGCTTCAGCATGGCCCTCACAAAGGAGCCGCGCCCGCTGATCGAGCTGGTGGCTCTCTTCTTGGCTAAAGCCAAAATACCTGAGACATTCTTTGGGTCTAACCCTGCTTTCTGTTGTTTGGGTCTAAACCTGTCACACTAAAGACATCCAAAACCTACCACCAGCGAAGTGATTGACTAGAAAGAGCATAGGCATAGTCACACTTGCCCAATAGGGTTAGCCGGTTTGCCATCCCTTACAAGCTCGTGGGAACCTTCGCATTGCTGCGACATCAGCATGGTCATTTGACTCGACTATTGGAGGCTTCCGACATCTGTGTCTTCAATTGCGCGAGGGCCGCGAGGGCCAGGAGGTTGCCATAACGCATTCTCCCCTATTTAATCCGATGAAGAAGATGTGCGTAGGGAGAAAGCTGGACATGTTGTACCATCCTCTCTTGGAAAAATGCTTGAGGTCTTGCATAGTTGTAGCTGCCATCTGCTGCCCAGCTGCATGTAGTCAAAGTCTGCAGCCACGTCATAGCCTTGCCACTTCTCACTCAAAAGGGTCTCTGAATGCAGCATCCCATGACATGAAGTACTGGTGGACCTGCAATACTCCTACGATGCAAGGTTGACTCTGTCATGACCGAACATGGGCGTCCGAAGATGACGCATCAGGCTCCCCTGCCCCCACCATGACCTGGCTTTGAGAAACATTATATAGCCTGGATTTTCCATCGCGGAAATCTGCCTCATCCCAACCTGGCACGTTAACAACATGGTCTCATACTTTAGGGAGAAAGTTTATGCTTGTAGGCGTTTCATGGACAAAGATCCGGCTTACACACGTGTGGTACAGTCACATCTCCCTTATGTAATTCAAATGAGGTAGCAAGTGTCAGGGCTTGAAGTTGAAAATCCACCTCGCGCGCATGCTGTCGATGCTCAGCCCACCAAAAACTGTAGAGAGCATGGGGAGGGCAGTAGCAGACCCTCTGAGCAAGGGCGCTACTAGGGGCTCCTGGCATCGCTACTAGGAGCAAGGACGCTCACAGGGCCGCTTCATGCCATGCCACTTCGGTAGAGCACGGAGAGGTGCGTCGAGTAGACCTTGAAGTCATCTCCACCACAGTTCTCCTGTGCAAGGTGACAGATACATGGGCTACCTTTGACGGCTAAGACTCTCTTTGACGGCTAAGCAGACGTGCCGAGATTCTTTCGCAAACCTTGAGGCACGATGATCATCCGCTCCCAACAGGATTGATGTATGGTCATGTGAATCCTCCAAGTTTGCTTCAATCCCTCGCATTGGTGGACGACCAACGTTCCCAAAAGAGGGCAAAGCCTGCTACTCCGCGTACGCATCCTGGTCTACATTCCATAGGCCCTATGGCCCTGCAGAAGGTTTCTGAATGATTCATGCACATGGGAACGGAGCTAGTGTTGATGAAGAAGACCTAGCCAAAAGAAGAAAGAACGCCAGCGGACACGAAGATTAGGACCCTTTTTGAGATGGATAATGCCATACTGGTAGCTACAAATTAGCACCTGTAAGTTGTGATCTTCCAACAGTATCCTGTTTCTGTGCAGCTTGACCAGTCTATTCTGTTTCCTCATCACCTTCTATTCTGCAGCCCTCGTAATAAGGTCCCACTTCGCCTCGTAATACTCCGAGAGATCCCACTTTGCACCGAAGTATCGCCTGCAAACGAGCACTTGCAGGGAAGTGTGAAAATGGTTTAACATGCATATGGCCTATACGCTCGTCTGATTTGTCATAGAATCACCACCCAGTTGGCTTTACCAAGTGTTGGAAATACTGCACAGTGAGGCTCCTGTTTGCAAAATGATACTGATGACTGAGGTAGGTTTTGTATTTAAAGACTTTTTTGGTCAAGAGTCCTTCTGGTTCTAGTCACACCTGCCTTGCGGACTTATTTGATTGACGGACTGGGCTACAAAGTGAGGCCAAGGGTTGGTGACGAAAGCTAGCAGGGCCGGGGTGAAGCGGGTGACAGTCGGCCCACTATGCCAGCGGAAATACACGCGTCGCAGAGATGTCCCGGGGAGGAGTTGAACCCGCCGCGGGGGGCCCTGTACATATGAAGTGTTCCAATGTTACTTTTGGAGTCTCCTTAGATTGTCCCAGGCCTGGCTGCAGGATAAGAATCCCAGCATTCCAAAGCCCGTATTTGAACAGAAAAGGCCCCGCTCCAGCAGTTTTGCACAAGGAATTACGTTCAGAGGTACGTTGGATTATATACATGGGCAAAGCACATTTGACTCCATATCTGAGCCAATCGTCTCAACAAGTGCTTTGGTGATAAGAAGCATGGTTGGGCATCCCAGAGTAAGAAAGGATCCAACGCCCGGATCACACTGAACCCACCACCATCTCAACCGCGCCCGCCACACATCTGCTCTAAACAAGAAGCTACTAGTAACAATGGCATCGCTACCAGGAGCAAGGATGCTACTAGGGGCTCTTGGCCTTACTAGGAACAAGAAGCTACTAGGGG